AAACTGGGGATCCCATGGCACACCCATGTTTCTGCCTATAATATTGCCCCCCGTATGTGAAGTAGGTTGATTCCTCCCTATCAAGAATGAGAACATCCTCATCTCTGAAAGAGTGACCGCTGGCGGAAGGGAGGAGAAAACCTTTTTTGTTTTAATCTGAAGTGTATTTTATAGATGATGCACATTAGGATTTTCTTTTTAACAGATAACAGTTGTCTTCTAACAATTGTGTAATTATTTTGAATATATGATGATTAAATAACTAATATAAACAAAAAATATCACCTAATGCAAACAACCACAGTTTTTTCATTTTTTTAAATTTATTTCTGACAGGATTGAAATAGAGTAGAAACAGCCTTCATTGTCGTGTGGAGGGGAAATTAAAGTGTAACAGCAGATCAYTACTAACACAAAATGTAAAACATGTTAGTCTGTTATGTAGGTGATCCAACTTTTATAATCAAWTCCATCAGAATTACTTTTAAAGAACCTGGTAAAAAATGTACCTGAATAATTCAGTTGTACTAGTTTTTACACAATTTATTATAAACTGATATTTTCATTGTTTACATGAATATGGTCTTTTCATTTGTCCTGATGTGTAAAAATAATAGTAAATAATAAAATTAACAGTATATTTTTTAACCTCCACTGGCTATAAAGGTTTCTGAAAAGGCCTTGAAAAGGCTCACGGACCAGCAGTTGATAATCCCAGYTGTAGCTTGTTTTGCAGCTCTGGACACATGTTAACAGTGAGAAAAGGAGCAGAAATGATTGTTTGGATCATAAAAGCTGCAGACCCTGGATCTAACACATAAAGTTAATTTAATCACAATAAATAAAAATATATCTGAATGTATCCCTGTCCTGTTCCACTGACTGGATAATTCTCACAAACCTCTTAATAAACTTTGTAAACTGCTTCAAGCTGCCGAACCAGCTCAGAAATGATAAATAAAGTTAAAACGGCCCGGCTGAAGCTCCGTGCTCCACGCTGCAGAGACACGCCCCCTCGTGACGTCACGGGCGGATCGGGATTTGGGAGAGCCGGAAGCCGCGGAGAGTCGAAGCATTCCCGGACCGTTCGCGTGTCAGAGCGGGGCTGCGACCGAACCGAGACCACCGCTGTGGATCCTGCCGCTCAGCCGGACCGAGGTACCGTTGTGTGGCGGACGGTGAGTGACCCACATCATCACACGAAACGCGCGAGCCCCGTTCATTCCCGAACCTAGCTTTAGCTCGCTAAGCTAACTGGAAGAGAAAACGCCACTGACCCAGGAAATACCAGAACCAGACTGGTCCAGAACCACTGTTTCCATCTGAACCTGGTCCCTGAGGCATCAGGCCTGAATGAGGGGTTTATATGACGTCATGTTGGACCTGGTTCAGTTCTGAAACCTCAAACTGAGCTTAAATTCAGGGTTTATTTGCTGCAGGTCCAGTTTCTCTTCCTGAGCTGGTTCTGAAACAAACCAGCAGCTTCAGGGACATTAAAGGGTTAAATGTTTGCTGTGGGYCCAGTGTTACCAGTAAACTTCCTGTCCCACCTGGACTGACGGGGTGGGGTTCTGCTGCTTCCTGGTCTGAAGACGGGTCAGCAGARCCGAGCCGAACCGAACTGAAGGAAACTGAACACATGTTGCTGCTTCCACAAACCGCTGAGTCAGCACTTCAGACTGGAGACAATAAATAAAGAAAGAAAGAAAGAAAGAGGTCCAGAATAATTATATGTCAGAGACACACACACACACACACACACACACACACACACAGAAACTAGAAACACTTTTCTTCATGTCTGAACACACACAGACACACACACACAGACACACACACACACACACACAGAAACTAGAAACACTTTTCTTCATGTCTGAACACACACAGACACACACACACAGACACACACACACAGACACAGACACACACACACAGACACACACACAGAGTAAAAACGAGCCTCAGCTGATCTTCATCCTGATAAACAAACATCAGCTGATGCAGAAAACTGATTTATGTGAAACAATATAAAGATTTAATTTAAACTTTGTGTTTAAGGAGCATCACGTCATTAAATACAGAGGTTAGTTTAATGAGTTAAACATAATAAAACCTAACACCTGGTGTTTACCTCCATCACCTGTCCTGTCAGAGKTTTTTATTCAAATCAAAATATGAGTAAATATTAATATTATCACACTCTGCTACGACAGGATTAAATAATCTGTAAAAATCCCTGTTTTAATCCAGTTTCATATTCAGTGTTGRCTGATCAGGTACTTCATTAAAATTTATTTTTCTAAATCCTGACTAATTTCTGGACAAACTAGTTGGAAATTAATCTGAGWTTTAATTTAATTTAATCTTTGTTTGTCACTCTAACATAAAGCTCAGGACAACAGGTGTGTTTACAGTCTCATATTATTATTCATAAATATTAAAAGACTTGTTAGAGTTTATAATAAACCACAGTTTGTCTCATTAAATAATTATCTTTATTTAAAGCCAACAGAGTAAAGTCTGGTGTTTATTATCATTACTAATGTGTTTTCTGCTTATTTAGGGGTGATAAATAGTCTCAAACTTTATCACAATAAATTATATTGTTTGTTTTGTAAGTATTTCTTTAAAACATGTCCAACATTTAAAACAAACC